CAATGAGGATAAAGGTCTATGAGACTCAACTGAGCTGCATGGTGCATACAGACAGAGAGGTTTAGGAAAGTTGTGTTGAACGGAGTTGAGCAATTTTCGTTATGCCTCAGTGTGTTGCCGTAGGATTCACCAGAATTGCAGCACGCATTGACAATCGTTTCTTTGTTTGTGACGGTCTTCCGTGACTTACTTACTAACTTCGGTGACAATAGTTGCGATGCTCGAGATCATGGTCACCTCAGGTGGTTTAGATCATATCAAAAGCTGATAGTCTTTCAGATTAACTGTCATCAATTGGCAAGCTTACTAATTGCTGATGCATTTTAAATGCATTAAAGTTGACCGCACTTCCCAAGCCATGTAATAACAGTTATCAAACTCGTCTTGGTGGGCTTTCATATATTTCTATATACATTTATTTCATGGGGTTATTTTATTGGTATTTGTAAATGACGTTAAATATCAATATTTAAACAATTGAGTTCAAACACGGTCGCGAAAATTAAAGGGATAATAACTCTTCGTTTTGGCCAAAAAATGAATTTTCCTGGAGAAAACAACAATTTTTCCATACTTACCAATAGTTAGTGAATCCATTTTTACATTCAATGTTAGTCCCTGGTTTTTTCCTGGTTTTTTTTTCTAAACAGTTTGGTTTTTTGTTAAAATCTCTTAAGAGATTATAACTGAGTACAGCCATCAATGGAGGTCTCTAGATCTGAAGACAAGCTCATGAATCTGAATAATAGCTATTACTGCCGTTTTTGTGGTAAAACAGAATATGTTATATTTCTATGAGTTGTTCACAATGTTTTTATTGTGAAATATAGATATCATACAAAGAGTTATTATCCCTTTAATAAAAGTAATTGCTCTCAGGGTATCTTGAATCATGCGTATGCCCAGGCATTACTTCCGTTGAAGAAAACGTGTTAAGGAAAAACAGGAAAAAGAGCGGTATATTAAAGAAAAAATGGGAACTGCTGTAATAAGATGGTTCGTAATCCTAATTCGTTTATGCTTTGAGGATTTGTTTCTGAAGGTTATTTCATCTGAAATATTGAATAATTTAAAAGATTTATCATTTTATAACTTGAAACGCAAGTTTTGCGTCTGTACGCAAAACTTTTTGCAAATTTGTAAGCTTTGTCAAACCCAAAACCATGAAGCAGATCAAGGTAAAAGCGTATTGTTTGCTACTAGTAGCATGGAAAAAATAATTACTTAATGTGTTTACTAAATGTGCAGTTTTACTTACGTTAGTATATTTTAAATTATGCAGATATGGAGATTTAACCTTGTAAGGGATATAAGAAAGGCGCATACGGATTTTTTAAAAGAATGTTGGGTGTAAAAAAAAGCACTACTGATAACTTAGTTCATTGTACATAACTAAATATATTATGAAAAGTGGGAGATACCCAATTCTTTTAAGTATGAAGCTACAATTTTTTAAATATTGATTTAAATCCCCTTTTTGAAAAACTGTATTTTAACAGCGTGCTATAAAGATCTACTCAAGAAAAAATTTGCTTTGGTAAAATTGAGTATGGAATGAACTGGAGACACTTGGCTTGTTATTAAGTTTTTACGAAAATATGTCAGATAACTTTATACTGTCCTTGAAAGAGTAAAGATAAAAGATAATTTAAGACAAACTTTTACAGAGGATATATCCACAAAGAGTAAAGGGCTATTGCACTAACATCTTGTAGAAAATTTTACACTGCAATTCTATTTAAATAAGCTAAGGAACTAATTTAGACTTTCATCACATAACAGGGGTGTAACCAGAGCTGCAAAATTGTACGCACAGATTTTTAAAAAATTCAAGCACGCACAGCAAAATGTAGACTAATGCAAAACATGAAGGACAGCGTAATCACAGCAAATGTACCACATATAGTAGCTTAATTTCCATTAATAATAAAATCATCATTTAAAATATTCTCGCGATTTAATAAATATTCTAATATACCCAAAACGATGTATTTATTTAAAAGGAGGCTAACTGAAATATAGTTTTATTATTTGTTTGTGAAAATTGCCCATGTCACCCTGTTGGTTTGGAGGCCTAAGCTGGATCAAGTCCGTGTTAAAATTCCTATGAAACTGTGCAGGAAAAATTTTTCCTTTGTTTCTCTAGCTCCTCAATAAACCTGGTGTTCAGATTTTATCTAGTACCCCCAGGTTTGCGGGAGCTGCTCCTTGAAACTAACGCACAGGTAGATTTTTACCCGAGATAAATATCGCCAGCGAGAGTGTGTTCGATACTCGCAAGACAAATGCTACAGGAGAATTGAATGTCATTTAACCCTCTTACAATAGTACAGTACATGAAACAACGGGTTTTATACAATACGAGCTTATGCCTTGACGAAAGCCGAGGCTGGCTATAGATGTAGTATTTGGCTTTCACCAGATAACCAACGTTTTTTATCATTGTTGTGAATATGTTGATAGTCTGAGAAAGCGTCTTTTGCAGGCATACAGGTTATCATAAAGAAAAACAGAAATTAGTCAGACACAACAAAAAAGAATTATGAGTTAGAAGTTGTGTCTTAGAAGTGATAGATCGGTTATTGGGTAAGGTAGAAGCATTTTAGGGCAAGCACAAAATACATTGTAGCTGACCGCTAGGAACAAGATGCATATATTGTTCGTGCCCAGCCAAATCCTGATATACAAGTTTATGATGTGGAAAAAGAAAATGAGTCGGGAGAGAAGCCCATGCTTCTCAGTAACCTAACAAGTAATAACCAATATCGCAATTTCCTATTACAGAGAAAACTACCATAGAGACACCAAAGCCGCCGTAATCAAATGAGAGAAGAGAGAGTGCGAGTGAGTAAAGACTACAGTGAAGGAAGTAGTAGCAGCAGTGTAGATGAGGAAGATGAATATTTGTTTGTATGTGACAGTTTGAGTAGAGAGCTTGAAGATAATGGTGGTAGAAGTGACAGTGAGACGGAGTATACTGTAGGAGTTACCTCACTGGACTCAGTTGAGGCATGTGAACAGGAGTCAGTTGCCAGTGAATCATTGATGTCCGAAGGTGCTGAAGATCAGATTTCCCGAGGTGTTGGGAGTGTGAGGAAGGTTCCAGTGCCTGTGCCTGACACACCCATTCCAGTCCCCAGAAGGAGTTCGCGACGTCGCAAACCGCCTGATTATTTAGTTACAGTGGTCGGAATAATTTTGTTTCCGTTGTACACCGGTGTAACCACGTTCGAAATGTTTTAATCCCTATCTTGTGAATAGAAGGGGGCGGACAAACAATGGAGGGCCGTATAAATCCCTTCAAAATTCGAACGCACAAACACAATAGCTTAGGTGGAATAACACAATACTTAATACGAGTGAACCCCATGACGCCGGTTTCTGTGGCCCAGCGCGAGCGTGACAATCCGCTGTAACTAGGTGTAATTAACAGCAGGATACATCAGCCAGAAGGTCCCTATTGTTTGTTGCGGCGATAGGATTATAGCTTGAAGAGGCTAAACCCATGCTAAGGCGTGCCACGCGAAGCGAACTGTCCTTTTGTTCACTAGTTTGGCACGCGCAGCTGGTTTTTAGTGTTGCTAACAAACTGCTAGTTAAATTTGTTATCAGTTATTTCATCCTATATGAAATTTCCGCAGTCAAAAATTGAACTAATTATTGTTTGTTTGGTTGAAATGCATGAGCGTCAGCATCAATCTGTCTCAAAAAATTCCTATTGCATTAATTTATAAATGTATAATTTATTTATGTACTTACGTTTTAATTTGAAATATCTGCATTCAAGCGTTCAAGTATTTATAAAACATGAATGATAATGAAAGAGGAATAAGGAAATAACATATTACTTATATTATGCTTATATTATAATATTGAAATTAAATGAGGTGCATTGACATAGGCGCAATGACAATCCAACTACAACGTGCAACAGGGGGAAGTCTGGCTGTATGATCATACAATATACGAAAGTACGGTCAATTAAAAGTGTAAATCATCAGTTAAATAGGAGGGGGTCTTACTATGGTCGCTATCTATTGTTAAACCCGACTGTTATTGTCTCTCGAACAAGCTTAAAGCATGCCTATACAATTACTGTGTCTCCGGCTGCCGTTCAGAAACACCATGTCGAACGTATTTTGCTACAGTGAGAAACATGGTACACTAGCGACTTGTTTTAGATCACTCAAGAAAGGATGCATACGTGCGACACCAGAGGAAAAACAATCAAGTATGCGTCTGATCCATTAATAGTAATTGCACAGTGCATGTTACTAGACCTTTGTCCTAACTCAGTAGTTAGGAATAGGATGTTTGGATAAAAAG